CACACAAATTTATTGACATACTTTGCAGGTACATATTTACATTCATGGCAAATACTTTCGATTTGATTCAGGAACTAGTTGGTAGTAAGCTTGCACTTTTGTAGGTACAACAACGACCATATATTAAATCATAAAAAAACTCATAGCATTCATCACATACCTTTTTACCGAACAAGTACCTAGCTACCATGCAATGATTCTAAATTTTTTCCACAATCCTGATCTATATCTCAACTGACACAATGAATTTGAAATACCCTAACAAAACCTATAACTGTACATAAGAAGAATGCAATACTACAAGAACTATGAATTTCTGAAGTTATTCTCACATGCTGGAATGTTGAAACTCTACTTTTGTCCTCCATTTCCATGTTTGAGCCATCATATCGAACTGTTTTCGTTCTTCAGTCACAAGCTTTCGCACAAATCTTGAATTTTAACACATCATCTTGAACCATGCTCCAGTCTATCCAACAAGGTATGCAACATCAAAGCAATTTTGATTTGTTACAACAGCTTCAGATCATGATGGGCTTGAGGTTTGTTACACCATTTGCCAGACAAATCTCTACAAATTGTGTATCAATTCCCAAACTTAAGTGAGACTGAAGAGTCATGTCTTAATAGTTAATACCCAGGTAAATGCTTATTTGAAATTGTTTTAACGGACTTTCACTGGGTAGTGGGTAAAAGTTATTATTGGTCCCAAAAAGTTATTATTGGTCACAAAAAGGGACCAATAATAACTTTTACCCACTACGCAGTGAAAGTCCGTTAAAACAATTTCAAATTCCCAAACTAAGTAATTGATCATATCAGTATTATGTTTATATAAAGAAACTCAAATAATCCACAAATTGTTATTGAAACACTCCCACAGAATTCACAGCAATAACAGTGCAAGTTCAGAAGCAAACAAACATTGCGCCAGATTTCGTATGAAACGCGCCATCGTCCTGAAGTTTCTACCACAGACGATAGTTCAACCGCAGCCGTAGTGCGAAAACCCCTGCCCACCTTACCCCACGGCGGAGCTCGGTTGCAATTTGTAAATACGCGTTTTCACCGGCGTCCCTTATGTTTTAGGGCCTTGGGGCCTCACCCCGCAAGAAGGGGACATGCCTAAGAGCTGGACTTTTTGCACGCGTTCCCCGCCAGGGGGCGCCACTGAGGAAGCACCCTCTGACGTCACGATAAAACTGCGCGCACTGTGCGCACGGTTCTGTAAGCAAGTAATATAGTGGTGGTTTCATGGTGGAAATTGGAATAAGTATTTTGACGTTGTAAAATTTTAAGCCGTTTTTGTGAAATTAATTGGTAAATGCATTTCAAAAGTATTTATTTAAAGTGTGAAAGGAGAATAATTTGGAGAATATGGATATTTTTGTTCCAATAGCTTATTATGTGAGACATGATCGGTACTAACGGGTACTTCTAAGAAGTAGTGAAGAAGTACCAAACAGCCTGCTCGGCTACGATCGTCAGCTGTCCTTTGGAGCTGGACTTCAACGCTGTAAAAAAAATATGTGCTGAATTAATTTTTAGTTTCACCAAAATATGAGCAATTTATCATTTCTTTTTCATTTTTGTAATTATTGTTGAGTGAAGAGATATGTTGCTAGTTCTGACAATATAAATTATTAATTAAAAAAACGAAATGCGACGGTAAGTATCTGCTACTAAATTATCACTAAAACCAAATACATGAAGAATCTTGCTACCATTGCTTATAAAACGTGCTTATCAATACACAAATGTTTTATTTCAGACGAGAAGGATTCATTTGCCTGAAGTCTTGCGTCATGTGCTACTGCTTTGATTCCAAAGACGCTCTCCGGGTCGGGGTAATTTAGTTCTTCATCGATCGATAAGATTTTGATTCCATTGATATCCAAATTTCCCACAGCCGGCAATGGGAATCTCCTGTCGGTGTAAACGCCACGATAGTCCCATCCAACTCAAACACTGGGGAATATCCCCGCACTTTTGAGGACGGAAATCTATGGACCTGTTCGAAAAATAGTGGATAAGATACGGCGAGTTTTATGGTTGGGTCTCCCTTCCGAGGCACATATTTACGGGGGATATTGGGTCATATTCCCCCGGTCATATTCCCTGTGAAGGTGCCCAGGTTGCTGCCGCTCGAATTTTGGTCGCCTACTTAACAAAACCTCCGTTGGTGCCATCTCAGTTTCCTCGAGGTCAGGCAACCTTCACACGCCGTTGGCTACCTTGGCTGGCCGGCGACTCGTTCCCCTCGTGGCGACGCTCTTGACATCCAGTCAAAAGTTGGAGTGGCTGGCGCCCCCAGTGGGGGCCGGGGAAGGGGCAGTGGGCCTCCACGTTGCTCTCTTCCCGAGCCTATGGTGACTTGGCTCAACTCTCCTCAATAGAATCTGGATTCTGCACGCTGTATTAACATGGGCGTAGACACCACTACGGACAATACGGACAGTGGGTGTGACAATCAGTAGTGCCATTCATATAGAGGGTGTCATATATGAGCGGAGAGGCAACAGTACAGCTGAGCGGAGAGACAACATTAAAACAACAGTACAGCTGGCGTTGCATGGAGCTGCAGGCAACCGGACAGCGGAGGCTTGCGAAAAATAAACAATTCGTCACTTCAACGTATAAACAATAGTATAAAAAGCAACATAAACACATATTCTCATGGTCGTACCCATGCACTAGCGGCTCACGGCGGGCACAGGCACGCAGTGTGGTAGCGGTACCGGATCACACGTCATGGGCGTTGTCTCAGCATAGGTTGTTATGAGCGGAGAGGCAACAGTACAGCTGAGCGGAGAGACAACATTAAAACAACAGTACAGCTGGCGTTGCATGGAGCTGCAGGCAACCGGACAGCGGAGGCTTGCGACGGGTACAGGCACGCAGTGCGGTAGCGGTACCGGATCACACGTCATGGGCGTTGTCTCAGCATAGGTTGTTATGAGCGGAGAGGCAACAGTACAGCTGAGCGGAGAGACAACATTAAAACAACAGTACAGCTGACGTTGCATGGAGCTGCAGGCAACCGGACAGCGGAGGCTTGCGAAAAATAAACAATTCGTCACTTCAACGTATAAACAATAGTAAAAGCAACATAAACACACATTCTCATGGTCGAACCCATGCACTAGCGGCTCACGGCGGGCACAGGCACGCAGTGCGGTAGCGGTACCGGATCACACGTCATGGGCGTTGTCTCAGCATAGGTTGTTCGCAATCTAGTTGAAGCCTAAGAAGACGGCCAGTGGGGTCTCACTGATGCTGAGGCGACCTCGGAGACGATGCGTCGCCCCTCCTGTCGGCGACCTGCGGTGAGCAGGACTCCAGATAGCTGTCTGGCACGTTGCCGACACTGCCAGACGCTGTCAGCAGGCCTCACTTCTGCAAGTGATGTGCAGATGGACGCCAGGTGACTTCGTCTGCAGGCGATTCCGGAGACCGCGGCCTCACCAGGCAGTACCACCTGCATCGCCATGTCGGTGTTTCTAGAAATGGAAAAATAACAGTATCGGTGAAGGACAAGCAATACAATGTATTCTGTTTTCCTCTCTTGCAGGTATACGTAATCTACAATTATCATTGTTCCTATTTCATTCAACTGAACCTGAAAATTCCATATTGGCACATTGTTTGACTAAATCTGTGTAGTTGGAAACAGGGGCGACGCCACGGTGCGACGACTGGAGGGGACATTGACCATTTTGGAGGGGCTCGGACCATTTCAAGTTGATTCTTTCCATGCAACGCCATAGGCGTAATGTTAAAAATTTTAAAAAGTGGAGGGACGAGATCCCCTCCGTCCCCCCCCCCCTGTGGCGACGCCCTTGGTTGGGAAGCAGATTGTTTGAAATACATGTTTGGCTGAACAGTGCAGAAAATATTTCATTGATCACTATAGCTGCAACAAAAAGACTGAGACAGAAAACATTTGCGCTTACCTGGCTCCTTAGACAGTCCCGCGCAACGGAAGTGGTACCATTTATCACAGCCTTCGCATCTGACCATTGGTGCTGCACTGATGCTGCTGCACTCCCCACATTCCCAGTACATTAGGAGCGTGTTGGCTGTGAAAAGATTACATGAGTCATGGCGCATACATGAATAGTAAGATGTTTTATATGTTTAACATCGCATAGCAAAGACAAAACAGCTGGGAGTCAAGTGTAAGCCAAAGTGTAAGCCCTGCCATGTTTTGCAGACTGGATTTTAAGCAAGAAAAGCTTTGCTAAAAATGACGCTTGACGAAGCCTCATCCTACTGGGCTGTCTGACATGTCTCCCTGTAAAAAGCATGTGGCCCTTATATTGTATATATGATGAATATGTTAATAATGCAGAGAAAACACAGTATAAATTATACCCAACGTTTCATCTTAATCGACTTTGTCAAGGGTGTTTGAACAGCTTGAGATGAGTGAAGTGTAAGGGTACCTAGGTACATCTGAAAATAAACTGAATCTGCGTTCAATAAACATTGATTTTGATAATACATTTCACAACTCAACTGCTAATAAGTTAGCACGACAGATAACTAACAATCGCATGAAGAACTTCTTGATTCGCCTTGACATCACATTGTCGTCCGAACGAATGTTGTCTGAAGTTACACATTTGTTTTTTCTGCGCAGCATTTGTGTTTGCCATTTACCGCACTAAATGTTCGCCAGCGGTGGTGACTTTTCCTTACCTGCTCACGAAACGTCACACACGACATGACGTCACCCGAAGACGTCATCAAAAAGTCCAGCTCTTAGGCGTGTCCCAAGAGCGTATATATCTTTCCCGAGCGAAAAAAACAAACATTCCAGTTTTTTGGCGCTTTTGTTTCAATTGTGGTGGTTCTGTTCGAAGGCCTATACAGATGGTGTTTGCGCAAAATTTCTAACGGAAAATCACCGACTATTTAGTGTCGACAGCTGCATATTAACTTTTTGAACACGCCTTCATCACTGCTTGTTTATTGGCTGTCTGTGGTATTGGGCTGTGTGGCTGTAGGTATATACCGTGTGTTGCTGGGTGATTGTGATAATATTTTGATGATTAACCTTTTCATTCAGCGGTAGAGACCCACAAGTTGACTCCATTATAAATATTGTCTCTTTATCATGAAACAGACTCAGAAACCTTGGCATGAATGCTCTCAGGCTCTCAAGAGAATGTTGAAATTCAGGTCTCAAAAGATTAAAATTACAATAATGAAATGTTTCACCTACCTTCCAAGCCATAAACACTCATACTGGTACTGGATGGAACTTAAAATAAAAAACAGGGGTGGATAATTAGGGGTTTGAAGCACCCCCTGGGATTTTCCACCAATGAAGTACCTACCTGTATGCTGCAGAGACCAGGGCCCTGTTTCACCGTTGATAGCAGCACGCTACTATCAAATTGCGCGAGCTGACGTAATGTGATGAGGTCACACTAATGACGTTTCGTGTAATCCGTGAGCTGCGTTTGGAACAGAGTTGCTGTTTCGTTGAATGCGATGTGTTTGATCGCACGGCCGTGAAGCTGTTGGCAGCAATATTTGATGACATCACACAGATTGACGGTGTCATGGTTTGCTGATGTTTCCATGGAAACCCAATTTGACACGTGTGATAGCAGCGTGCTGCTATCACCGGTGAAACAGGGCCCAGAATAGCATGGTCTGTGTTGCACATATTGATGCTGAAGCTATACCTACCTACCTATCAAATGTCTTTCAGATAACCTACCGAGTGTTCACATTCATCACAAATGCTGTCATTCTCCGGTATATTACATCTGATGTCCTGGGCATCATCAATGTCAGGTATGCACCCTTTACTTTTTTCCTATCATGCATCAGTGATGCATCCAATGTCTGAGTTCCTAAGTAGAACATATGCTATTTTCTCACCAGAACTGTAGTGTGTACTCCATAAGAAAAATGCTAATTTTTCGTATGTTTCTAGTTGAACAGAGTTTGCTCTTATTTTCTAGTTATTGTATAAAATGAAGTAATATACGGTTATCTTCATAAGCATGTACCGAATTACCTGTTCCTTTTGACTGACATTCAGTTCTTTATTTAAGTGTAGTTTTAAAGTAGGTAAATCAATTCTGTTCAAAGTTCTGAAGCCCTAGTCTGCTTCCCAGGCTGGCTCTACTCTACTCGACTGACACCTTTGTCAGTGTGGAGGCTTTCCGTCGGGCGGCGCTGGGCGTGACAGAGAGCAGCACGTGGCGCCAGGCCATCAACTTGGTGTGGCTCAGGTACATCGTTCCGGTCCGGACATCAGTTTAACTCGAAATGGTCACAGCTGTTGGGAGAAGCTGCATATCGGCAGTTCCCAGCAAGAACATCCCAAGTGTTAAATTTTCGAAACTGTGATTTTCATACCATTCGACTCAGCTCGACGAGCTGAGTCGAATGGTATAGAAATCTCAATTTCAAAAATTTGACACTTAGGATGTGCTTGCTGGGAACTGTCGATATAGGTACCTACTTCAAAAACAGGTGTTGTTGTGGAATGTGGACTGTGGAGGCAGTCAATGGGTAGCAGCTAATCGGCACAGTTCTGTTGAGTAGTAGTGGTTTTAAATGGTCATTGCCTCGATAAATGACGTTTATTTCTTCAGATGTGGGGATCGTCATAGGCACATAAGTATGTAATGTTTTATTGCCAGTGAATTGAGTGTATTATAAAAGAGCAGTGTTGTAATTGCCTCTGACTGACGCCCCGCTCCCCTGTTAGCGTGCCCGTGTCAGCGGCGGTGTCGGCGGCGCTGGCCGGCCTCTGGCTGCACGCGCTCAGCCAGCCGGCGCCCGAGGTGACCTCAGAGTACCGTCTGGGCGTGTGGGTCACCGCGGCCATGGTTGTACTGGAGACGGCCGCCCAGCCGCTGGTCATCCTGGCGCAGGCCATGCTCTTTGTCAAATTGAAGGTGAATGACGGCGGTGGGGTGACGCAGAGGAGAGGAACAGGGTGTCAGGGGAAAATATTTGAGGCGCGTCGGTTCCCCGATGACTCTGCTCGACTGCTATATGCTCGATGACTCTGCTATATCAGTGAAATTATATCCGAAGCTCAAATCGCCTGCTGCGACAGTCGTTTGCGGATCGTCGATCGTTCACACCGCGTTAATGTACTGTATTCTCCCTACCTTGCTGGCATATGTGGATTATCTCTGACTCTCTTATCGTCTTCTCGCCCCTCCCCATCTCCTCTCACCACTCTCTCACCCACCCGCTCTCCCTCTCTCCCAAGGTGGTAGCCGACATGGTCACTCTGTGCAGTCGGGTGGCGCTCAAAGCCTGGCTGATCGCCCTGTACCCGTCCCACGCCATCTGGGCCTACTGTGTGGGCCACGCGGTCAGCTCCGCTCTCCTCGTGGTCATCTATTACGGCACCCTGCTCTGGCACGTCCGCTCACCGGATAACTGTCTACCGGTGAAGTCGGCGAGCGAGCTGGGACCCAGACTGGTGCCGGGACAGGTGAGGCCAGTGAACTACATATTTGTAAAGGGGCGGGGTTTCAAATGTAGTCAAGCGTTTTCGCGGTCATAGTGGTTTCTTTTGGCCAAGTCGTCGCATTCTTCGTTTCATTTAGCTAGAACTTTAGGTCTAAGGCCTCTTAGACTGCAGTCAAACGGTATTAAGACCTACCTGTGTTACAGACAGCTCACGGCAGCGCTGGTTCGAGTATCCTCAGAAATAGAGCCAAAGTTGTGCTGCCACGTTTTCCCAGCAACCGCGTCTGCCTCTAACATTTCCTGTCGCGACGGTGGCGATGTGACCCGTGCTGCCATCTCTCTTCACTGATCAGTAATACCTCTCCACAAGTAAGCACACACTCCTCTGATATTAGCCAATTATACTCGTAGCTACTCTTCATCTCCGCTATAAGTCCTTACTGCCAGTCGTTGTGATCTTCATCTTGGTGTCTTTTTTTGTCATTCGGTTTGTTTTGTTGCCCAGCTTCTATCCTTCTGGCCATCTCTCCCCTTCTCGCCAGTCACTGGAAGGGGACAGTTTGGCACCTCTCCTCCAGCTGGTGCCTGACAGCTCCCTCCCCCTCCAGCCGGTGTCTGCGGTGGCGGGCCGGGTGCTACACGACCTACTCCGCGCTATGAGTCTGACCCTACCCCCTCTTCCTCCAGCCGGTGTCTGCCGCGGGGGGCCGGGTTCTGCACGACCTGCTGCGCGCCATGAGCCTGCTCTGTCTGGTTGCCGTCACGTTCGGCTGGAGCTACTCCCACCTGCTGCTGCGGCTGTACGGAGGCGCCCTGCTGACCGCCGGTCCGGCCGTCAGTCTGCTGCGCGCCCAGTGCGCCTACGTGCTCCTACTGGCGGTGAACGGAGTGCTGGAGTGCTACACGTTCGCAGTGATGCGCCAGGAACAGATCAATGGGTAAGTGCCGTGGAGGGTTTATGGAAGGCAGTCGGGAAATGGTCGGGGCTTAGTAAGGAGTGAGGTAAATTAGTCGGTAGAGGCTGAGCGGATTAGGAAATGACGTTCTCATGTTGGTTTTTGTTGTTAGACTGCCTTTTGCGGCTAAAGGCGAAGTGGAAAGGCTGGCCAGTCGTGTCGATAAAGTGAAGCTAGGAACGTTACTATCGGGCGCTTTGACAGGTGTTGTGGCGTTTTCCGGTGTTTCAGGTATAACCGGAAGATGGTGCTGCTATCTGTGATATTCGTCATCTCGACAGGGATCTTTACTAGGCTATTCGGCGGGGTTGGATTGATCCTCGCCAACTGCGTCAATATGCTGACCAGGATATACGTTTGGTGAGTTTTTGTGTTTTTGAATAGATTTGATTTGTCCTAATTGGTCTAATTATTTACATCATTATCCAATCTGTCATGGATAGTCAATATCACGCTTTATTCGCCGATCTCGATATACTTGGATCTCGTTACTTCACCCGTCCATCGACTGATACGAATGTCTGCTGTCCCCAATAGTGTCCTGTACCCCTCTCAATTCTCATCCCGTGCCCTCCCCGTATGCTGCTGGTTCCCGATACAGTGTCCCGTGCCACTCTCAACCATCATGTCTTCGTCCCATTTTCTGCTGCTGCTGCCCGCTCGCCCCGTCCAGTGTGTTGCTGGCGCTTGATGCAGTGTCCCGTACCCCTTTCACCCTGTCCCCACCCCGTGTGTCGCTGATGCCCGATACAGTGTCCCGTACCTCTCTCGTATGTATGTATTGTATGTATTACCTTCATGGACAATCCACGCGGGGCGTGGCGATTACAGTCCGATTACTCTCACCCTGTCCCCGCCCCGTGTGTCGCCAGTTACCGGTTCGTGGCCGGTCTGCCGCTGGAGCCGGCGGTGTCCGTGCCGCCGCTGCTCGGTCTCCGCCCGCCGCCCGCCGTGGCTGCCGCGCTGGTGACCGCCGGCCTGCTGGCAGCCGGCTCCGAGAGCTGGCTGTATAGTCTCTCTTGAAAGTATCGCGTCCTGGGCTGCGGCGGCTCAGCGAACTATTCCATTCAGTTTGAGGACCCCAGTAGGGAGGTCATGGCCTGTATCATAAAAAGTACGCTGTAACACGATTTCACGCCAGCGGTAGAAGGAAAATTGCTATATGACGCAGGCCCCAGCGGCTGACAACTGGGTCAAAACAGGCGGAGGCCGGCCAAAGGTCATGCTCGTATCGCTCTCCCTTGACCCCGTCCACCGCCCCAGGCGGATACCGGTGCCTCTTGGGCTCACCAGCCGGACGCTCATTGGTGTGCCTTTCTGGGCGCCAATCACTCAGTGTGCGTGACGCGTAAAATCACAACGAAGCGAAGTTCCGCCATAACCCCAGTGGCGGATCCAGGGGAGGGCAAATAGGGCAATTGCCCTCCACAAAGGACATCATTTTTAACATTACGTCTATGGCAGTGCATGAAAAGAGACAATAAATTGTGATGGTTTGCCCCTCCCAAAACTTTGGGTTGGATCCGCCTATACATAACCCTTACTGTAATGAGGCCTTCTGAATGACGTAAACAGGTCATGCGGGGTGTGGGGGGGGGGGGGGAGGAAGCCTGGCATCAAATAAGTTTTTAAAAAGAACATGGCTGAACAGCATTATTTTTTCTTTTTTGTCGCCGTTCGTTAACCGGCTCATTAAAAAGAGAGAACTTCAAATATAAGACTAAATGGCTAGACAGCGAATTGGCGAACTGGCTAGAGAGATAATTCTTGTTTTTGAATCCGCTTACGAGTGCATGTGCAAGCACGGATGCATTCTGTTAGCGGGTGCAACAGATGATTTTTTAGGTATATGCGCACGAGTTTCCGGATTTTACCCCCCCCCCCCCAAAAAAAAATGTGACAGTCGTGCCGATGACGAGTCAAATTGCTAACTTTGCAATGAAAACAAATCTCAACAAATCCTCTGCGAGTAGGGTGGCCTCCGTTGACCACATGCTTAGCTACCATCACAAGTAACCGGATGGCGACTGCCACCCCCCCCCCCCCCATCCCTCCGCAGTCCGCAACCACTTCCCTCGGCCCGCTGCGCCGGCTGCCTCCGCGTGTCAGGCTTCGGTCAGTGCTACCAGCGCGGCGGCTCTCAAACCTTTCCGCTCAACCGCGGCTGGGACAGGTGGCGCCTTCCTTCGGAGTCGCGATACTTTCAAGAGAGACTATACCCCAGCTCCGCCGCCGCCCATGTGGCTGTGGGCGCGCTCTGTGGGGCCGCCGTGGTGGCCGCGGCAGTGTACAGCGAGCCCCGCCTCCTCCAGGCGGTCAAGGAGCGGGTCGGGGATAAACTGAAGCGCAGCTAGCGGGGGTGCTACTCACATGGTCACGCAGGGAATAGGGGTTGTTTTGTTGTGATATTTATGTGCATTTTGGGTTGAATATACACCGTGCCTGTCAGTAGAGTGGATCTATTAATTTTAAGACTGGTGCGACTGCAGGGGCGTTGAGGCTATCGGCCATTTGAGAGCTGGACAGTGCTTGAAAGCAACTTCCTACCGA